AAACGTTGACTTTTATTTAGTTTAGTTTGGTGGTTTTGTAAATTCCTCTCATCTCCAAATCACAACTTAGTAAATGTAACTTTCCCCTTTGGCGCTGTTTGGATTTTCTGTTGAAATGTGACAAGATAAACTCCCATTAATGAGTCAACGCACCTGCAGATTTTCCTCTTTACTGTTACGTGTCGTGGTTTATTGTGGGCACTGAAATGACAAACACAAACCCATTAAAAAGTGAGCGAAGGCAACATGGAGAGGAGCTCCTCTGAGATGTTCACTCGGGCAGAAGTCCTGGTATGGCATTTAGAAAGACATGCCATTACCTGAAATTATCCAGTGAAGGTGTGACTCAGCCCAGCAAGGGAATCCTGGGTTGAAGAGGGTGCTTGTGTGGAAAATAGAGGAGTCCTCACAATGAAGCAGGGACAGTTCCTTCCTCTCAGGCGGGGACACTTTAACTGCCGCTCCGTATTTGAAATGAATATTTCATATACTAATTCCTGGATGTCTGAAAAGTGTAGTTATTGTAATTTGGTCGAGTATTATCGTGTACAAATATATGACTGCAGGTGTTAACATCGAATAGGGTTTACGAGGAATCACGTCTTGATCGTTGTTCTCGTTCGTTCACAGAATAAGTAGCACGTGGATTTTGTTTGTTGTGAAACTATGAGGGAAGCTCCGGGGGGGTCCAGCCCCTCTCAGTCTGTCACCCTGTGTTATCCCTCCATCCTTTCACCACCTCATCTACCTGACAGCCAGGTCCTGCAGGCGGAGCCGGACTGGTGCACCGACGCCTGCGGACGCCTCCTGCTCATTTTTTGACTCAGACGCGTTCTCGCTCATAAAATACACGCGTGAGTGTAAGACTCGTTGCTTCGTGGGAACACAGATCATACACTCAAAGTACAATCAGGCAAATCATGGGATATTTTGCCACATTTACACTTCAACAAAGGGGATGAAGAAAATTGTCAAATGCAAATTATCATCAATATGCATTCAAGTAAAATGCAGAAGCATGACAGCTTTAATTTGTCAAACACAGATTTGA